CTCTCCGTTTAAACCGGTGCTGTCAGGACTGGGACAAGGACTGGAGGGAGAAGAGGAAGAAGAAGGAGGAGGAGGATTGTCCTTGGAATCCAACCAATCCAATCCCACCGCCACTTCGGGGATACTCAAGAAGTTGACGGTCCCGTCTTCGAAGGCTTCTTCCAGCCGGTCGCTGAGCTGATGCCACTTTACTCCAACAGTAACTGCCTTGACGGTACCGCCGCTGAACCAAGGCCTGCGAAGTTTGGCGAGGGCAGAACGCTTGACGATGAGACTGCCGACGCCGGTGGGGTAGCCAAAGAGTTTGTACCATGACACGATGATGAACTCAGGCTTGATGTCCCCCGAGAGATCGAGGCGGGAGGTAGGCAGGTAAGCAGCAGCGTCAAGAAGGACGTCGTAACCCCGTGACTGAGCAAGTGGTACCCAGTGCAGGGGATGTCGGACGCCAGTGAAGTTGGATTGAGCCGGGTACGCAAACAAGCCATTTCGTCTTTCTCCCCCTTCTTTTCTCTCCTCTGTCTTTCCCGTCAACTGATGTTGGTGGTTTTGATATTGTCGCTTCTCGGACATCGGCAATGCTATCCGCCCCCCTGAATCAGGAGCAGAAGACAACTGCCCAAGACACCCCTTAACTGGCGCAGTCACCACTTTTCTCACTTTCCCCATCACTCCGGCATATCTTGTGGGCAGCTTCTCGATAATATCGTGCTCTTTGATCCTCATATCAGTCCCACTAATCCCGACATATTCCACTTTCGCCCCCTTCCTCTTCGCAAACTCCCTCATCCCATTGACACTGTTATGATTATCCGCACTTAACACCAGCCTCCCGCCCCTTTTGTACTGATATCCCTCTCCGACCAACCTCGCGGCGCCCGTGGCGTTCGGGGTGAAGATAACCGCATATTCTTCGGGGTCCGCGTTGAAGTGCTTCAGGATCCTTTTGCGGGTTTGCTCGACCGCGATGGTGGCGGCTTCCGAAGTCGGGTTGACGGAGTGGGGGTTGCCGTAAAGGGTGGAGGCGAGCCGGGCTTCATGGGCGGCTAGCTGGAAGGAGGAGCAAAGGCCGGAGCCGGTGTAGTCAAGGTAGGTGTGGGATTGGGCGTCCAGGTAGGAGTAGGCGGTTGAGCGGAGGTGGTCCAGGCGGGTGGTGGTGCGGTATTCGGGGTAGAGGCTCGTGATGGAGGGGGTTGAGTCTGAAGACATTTCGATGGTGGGTATTTTGTTGATAACTTGGACTTGGTATGCAGGTGGCGTTGGGGTCGCTGTAAGCTGCCTAGAAGTAAAGAGAAGTGACATAAATAGAGGTAAGAAGTCCTTTTTGTTTGTTCCTGCAGATGAATGGAAGCTGATATAAGACGGGAAGGATGAAGCGAGCAAGTCCGACTCTGTGCCTGATGGAAGATAACAGACAGACAGATCTGATGGGCCACAACTTATGTTGGCAGGAAGGGGCCGAAGACAAGTTCGATGTGAAGCCTTCATTGATAATCCACTGGAGGTTCCCGATAACGAGGATTGTAGAGGTATCCAATCTCACTTGGTGTGTCGAAGAGTCTCAGTTGTATTGCTGACCACCCACCCGCCGGGGCCAATATTACCTAACGACTCGCGGATGTGTTGCAGTGTCCCCAACGGCCCGGAAAGATACTCCGAGTATTCTGTGTCTTCCGTCATAAACGCCTCCCTCGTGACATGCGTACCTCTATGCATGCCTTGTCGTCGATGCCGATCCAAGTGTGCTATCTCTTTTCCCTTCAGGTCTCCCCACTCACGTGTCTCTGCCTTCCTGTTGCTGCTATCCGCTCACACACTTGTCTTAGTTCCGTGTCTGGTGGGAGTCTCGATGCTAGGAAATCAATACTAGCGTGGTAGTTGACTGAGGCGTATCGGAGCGTGAGATCCGCTGATCACTGTGATGAGAACTATGACGGTAAGGGTCACGTTCGGACTATCAACCAGTGAGACAACGTGCTTTTCTCGTGGATTTGGGGTGTACACAGGATACCATGTAGATCTGCTCTGCCTCCACGTTGCATGTATTGCATGTAAAGCTGGCAGCTGGGTGATAACGACGAGATCTTCCGGGCGACTGAACGGCAAGATAATGGCTTTGAGCCGGCTGTGATGTTCTTGATGGGACATGATTGGTATTGTAGTCAACGATAACCAATATCTGCAGGCATGTCAACGATTTTCGGGTGTGGCTTGGTGTCGCCCTGAATCCTGTGTTCCGGAATTCTCGGACTTTGTCGTTCTCCTCGAGCGTCTTTGACAGTGAAAGCTCGCGAGGCTTGTCGTCTCCTTTCACGATATGGAACCTTTGTTTCGAGCTCTTATCACAGTATCACCAGGCTCGCACTGGCTGTTAGGTTGCTTTTGTTAGCCTAAAGACAAAGACATCCGTCTTGGGGATTACCATACTGTTGGCGCAGAGACAGCAAGTGACTTGCAAGTCGCTTACACACACATAGGGCATAGTGTGAAATGTCGATTGGTCGATCAGTCCAGCATTGTTTTTGCCCTGGAAGGTTAGCGTTAAGATTTGAGCCGGCCAGCATGCATCATTGGGGGCCAGGGCCATGCCCAGATGGCGATAGCGTTGTCCTGGCCGCGAGCGAGTGCCAAGTGCATGTAGTGTACAAGATATTGATTGACAAGATTGACAACACAACAGCCAACCAGCGGCCAGCCGCCTATGTTCCATGATGGGATGATAGTCGTCGGCTGTGGTTTAAGCAATAAAGTCCTAGCTGAGACCTATCACTCATGATGATCTTTATCGCGGGCCGTGATCGCCAGCAAGCGAGATAGAAACTCCACAGAGAAAATCGGAGGGTTGCAAATGCGCGTCGCAGTAAGGTACACACTAGTGTACAACTACATGCAGAAGGGCTGAACGGCAATCTGAATGGGGCTTGCACCTGGCTGCTGCAACGCTGACTTTGTGGCTGTTCTCGAAGACCACTTTCAGTCACTCCAGTGGTGCGCCATCGTATGAGCGTGCTCGCTCCCTTTGAGTCGTTCACGTTATCTTTCCTTTGCCGAAGCAACGGTATTATCTCTTCGCATTGTTGTCATCGTCCTTGTGCCTCGTCGATCTTTGAATCTCAAAAGGAATAGGAAAGACCAAAAACTTTCCAAGGCACCAGTAATAAAGGATCGCATGATGTTTGCTCTTTCGGCTTTCCTTTGCGAGATGACCTTCATCTTATCGATCTCCCAAACTCCGGTTGTTCTCTCGAGAATCGATTGCAATCAAACTTGTCCGTTTCGGTGGGACAGTGCGCCGAAAAGTCATACTGACTGCACCGGTGTTCTTTTCTTCTTTTGCTTGTCTCCTTCTGCTTTGGGCCGGCCGTTTGCAAATGAAGATGATCGGACTTGGTATGCAAGCCACACTGGGAACATATGATCGGAGTGTGAACATTTACCCAATCAGCAAGGCGACGAAACAACGCCCTTGCAAAGCTGCATCCGAGTCAAAGATTCATGTCAGGTACCTGAATCGGCGGAAGGCTTGGAGTTTTTAGTCGTCGGACAACTGGTCTCTGCCTTGTCATCCATTGCCATGTCTAGCACTTGAGGAAATCCAGGACAGTTTCCCAGACTCGGGATCAATCCACGAGAAGTCGGAGAAGAGACGCCACGGAAATGTGTTTGCTCAGTAACAACACCGATATGCAGTGTCAATGGTAGCTGCCTGTCGTGAAACGCCACACATGTTCGAGCAGAACAATTCCCTGGTCTGACCTTAATCCGACAGCCTGGTTGACAAGAACCTGGCTTCCGCAACCATGCAGAAAGGGGGGCTCAATAATGTCCTCTATGAGTACGGCGCGGAGGCACAATCGAGAGAGCCGAAGGAAACGTGGAATCTTCATGATATCGGTTGCCGACCTCACTAAGGGCATGCACGTTTGCTGCGCCGCACTGCTCCGCGACATGTTGATACTACCGGGAGCGGTCCGGTATCTCGGGAATCCGGGGCGGCTTTGCGTAGGTGATGGTTCGAACGGAGGATTTCGGTTGCCAGTCAATGAAGAAACGATAAGTCCCAAGTTGTCTTCAAGATGCCATCTTGATGCTCGCTTAAAGTCCATGTTAAGACATCCTTCGCATTCGACGTTTGTGCTCGCCCACCGTTGCAGTGTTCAGAAACCTTAGCCGCCCGCTACCACCAAAGCACACAGAGCCTCGTCGAATCTGGAAATATGCAGCAAAGACGTTACCTCCGCGAGCGTGAGATTGCTTATCCATCGGGTCAGCATCCCGTGTTCCCCCACCTTGTGTTCCGTTGTAGGCATCCTTCTCTTCGTCTTCCAGAACAGGCAGCCGACGAATGGCTCTCAGCTTGCACAAGGCCCAACGGGATGACCTACTTACGCGCATGGCGCATGTTCGTCTCACGCACTGTGACCGGCGACCTTTGGTTCCGAGGTGCGTACAAGCTAAGATTGCACTTTGAGAACTTCCCAAACCCGTAATGGTGGTAAGCAGGGCTTTCAACCATCATGACTTCCATCCCACCATGCGAACGATAACATGGAAAGTTGGTGGATGGATCATCAACCTAGAAACCATGTGCGCGCCGCTCGTGGTCAACTGGTTGCGACCTCACCAAGTGCTTGCGCCGCCTGCGCGGCTGACGTGCATTGGGGAGGGGAAGGATGTAACGGATATAGTGCTTGGAAGATATCGCTTTAGAAGCGCCTGTATACCTTATGTGCACCACCTTATTTGGACTTCACGTTGCATTCCGGGCGATCTTGAAGAAAGTGCGATGATTCGGCTTAGACGTCCGGTTAGCGATGTCGGTTGTCAGTCAGCATGTTACCATCCGCTCTATCGCGTGACGAGAGACAACACTGTAATCGTGGTAGCCGATGTGCTCGAGTTGGGCATATGTCGAAGAGGTTGTTAGCAGGAGCATAATCGCCCGCCTCGGTTGAAGTGGCTTGTTGCCGGATATACCCCGTCTTTCCCACCTCCTCAACATGGCCTCATCGTTGCGGTGTGAGAGCGTAGTAGTCGTTGCATTTGGGGGCTGAAGAGTCGTCGGTACCAAGAAACAGAGAGCCCAAAGCGGTTGTTCCCGTTGAACCGGATCGTTGCGAGCAATGGAAAGCAAACAGAGCCTGAAAGCCGCATGTGGTAAAGAGTTCGTGATACTGTAGCAAAGCACAAGGTCAGTACTATATCTGGTCAAAACAAGCGAGCTTGTGTGGTAGGCGTCAGGTAAGCAGCCACGATATCTGAACCCTTCCCCCGGTCACCTCTTGACTCTGCCCTTCTTCCGTCTACCCTCATTCATCCCAAGCCCCGAGATCGGTATTCCAATGGGCTCCTGGTGGCTCCGGGAATGAGCTGACAGGGCGTTTATCTTCGTGACAGGCGTTGAGGAAGCAAACATTGACAAACGACACACGGCCGGCAATGCTTACCTAACATGGAAGGTTCAGCCATCAACATATGTTGGTTTGCTTCTATTCCGGACGTGTTCCCCAAAGGGGACCGTTCATTGCCCGGCAATTTGCATCGTGGGGGCGCAGAACGTGGCTTTGTTCCTTTTGTGTTCTAGTGGTAATTGACGACAACGGACGTGCAGTCTTGACGGTGTGCAAAAGCCAGATGATGAAGAGAAAGGCGAAGAAGGAGAAAAGAAGCGAAAACGAACGTTCCAGCCACAGACCGCAGTCCGCATCAATCCCAGGAGCAGTGGAACCTGCATGGGGCTCTGTATGTAAATTGTTAACGTTCAAAATGCTCCAGGGATACACTAACAATTTCCACGCTCTTACGGTGGCCCAAGTGCGTGCTAGGCCGTTTATCCAAAAGTTCAGAAAAAAAAAGTCCGTGCCAGCTGCGGGTAATAGGTACGCGCCTAGGCGCGTCAATATAGATTCAGTTTAGCAATCAACCCTATTTTACCTTCTACGTAACCCTATATTCTCGTATAGTAAGATATACTTTAATACTTTCCCTATAACAACTATACTATTAAAAGTTAATATTTACAATTAATACTAATTAATTAGTAAGCGTATAGGGTATCCGAATATAATGTATATTAATTTTATATTTATATAATATATAGTAACGATAGCCGACGAAGATTACGTTAACGATAGCCCCCTTATAGCAGAATTGCGCCCTTTTACTTTTGAGGGCAAATTGCTTACTGACGATATATCGGATATATATAAGATGGAGGATGACGATATAGAGTAGGAGGACGTTATTACTCTTGGTTTTACTATTAAATAGCTTTTTGATTATAAAATTAATAAAGTATATAAAATTTTGCTTTAGTATAAGGTATAATACTCTTATTAAAGTTGGTTAATAAGAATTAAAGGTAATTAATCCTAATTAATGATTATGAACTATTAAGCGTGCTATTTCCCTTAAAACGTTCTAGACTAAGAGTAGTTAAGAAATTTCGAAGTTAAAGTAGGATTGCTGCGAATACTTCGTGAGTTTAGTTTACTATTTATTTTTATTCTATATGAATAAAAAGGCTACCTACGATAAATATAAGAAGAATAGTAACTATAACCCCTTTTTTAAATATATTATCATTAGTACTAAAATAATTAAACGTACTTGTACAAATTGTTTTTATAAGGATAAAGGTATTAATTGTACCCTTTGTAAGAGTATATAATATTATTTCCTTTCGAATAATAATAATAATTTACTAATTATTTATTAGGCTACGAGAAGAAGGAGGCGAAGAAGGATGAGAAAGTTATTCCTTTTTTAGTTATTATTGTTTGTAGTTGTAAGGTTCGCAATTTGGAGAGGGTTTTAGCTTGGGTTCGGGCTGAGATTGCTAAACGCAAGGCTGATATATAGTAAACGTTAAGTTTCTACTAAGAATTACCTATATATAATATAGGTTTCAACGTTTAAACTATAATTTACGTTGATTATTCAAAATTAAAATTGAATTCCGTATTATAAATTTTATGATTATTATACTTTTATAAAAATTTGAAAATAATTATTATATATAAGTAAAATATATAAAAGAATTTTATAGACTATAAAGAAAGTAATAAAGTAGAAACTTAATATAGAATGAAAAATATTTTTTATTTTTATTAAATCTTAATAAAAATTCTAGTAAAGTAAAGATATATAATATATAATATAAGGTTAAATAAGATAGGTAATTATATAAAAAGGACTAGAGCTTGTAAATACTATAATAATTAGAAGTAATTTATAATATAGTAAATAAAAGAGAATATAAAAAAGAAGAAAGCTTCTAACTAGTTATTTATATATAGTAAATATATTATATAATTAAATTAGAAATAAAATTATAGAGTAATTAGAGTATAGTAGTTAGTAATTTGAATTAGGTATAATATATTATAATAAGAAAGTACTAATAACTTTATTAATCTGAGTTAATATAACTATTTTAAAGTATAATATAGTAAGATAGGGTAATTTGGAAATTCCTTCATCAATATATATTATGTATTTATAATACTATATATTATTTAATTTTTAAAAATAGGAATAATGTTATATTATAAAGTATTAATAAACATTTATTACTTAGAAGATTATATAAAAAAAGATTATAGTAATTATAAAATACAAAGTAAAAGATAGTTTATAATTGGAAATTATTATTATATTTTTGAAAACTTATATTTATATATATATATATATTGTTACTTGTAATAATGTCATTTTATTTTTTTTTTCTAGAAAAATATATAAAAGTCTAGGTTATTAATAAAGTCCTGAAGAAATTTTTGGAAAAAGAATATTGATTTTAACAAATAAAGTATCATTTAAATCTTCCTTTTTATTATAATTAAAATGAACTTATTTTAATTATTTAGTTATTATTTTTATTATATTTAAGAATTTCGAAAGTAA